ACTTCAAACTTCTCTGGAGGCAGTGGCCATTCGTGCCATCTTACTTAATAGAACCATAACTATCTGCTTTCTATTCATCCCCCCGGATCAAGTGCTTAGCAGGGCTGATTTTGAAGGCCTAGTTAACAAGCACCCAGAGCCATTTATTTTAACTGGCGATTTCAGTGCACACAACTCACTCTGGGGAGACTCTCAATGTGCTGCATGGGGCCTCTTGATAGAGTGGTATCTCTTGAACTCTGGCACATGCCCTTTCAACAAAAAAAAAAAAACCAACATATTACAGCACCACACACAACACTTATTCTGTGATTGACCTAACAATCTTCTCAGCCACTCTTTTACCCTGCCTAGATTGGGAGATGGTTCAAAACCCCTACGGCAGTGGCCACTTCCATATCTGCCTCAAGTCCACAGAGGAGCATTCAATACCACATAACCCTCAGTGGAAATTAGCATGTGCAGATTGGAAAAAGTTCTCTCATATAACTTGTATACCTAGGAAGGCTTTTAATGAATTTGACATAAACGGTGCTATTGCACATTTTACCGCTTTTATAGTTGATGCTTCGCCTTGTGTTTCCATGACAAACAGGGCCAAAAGAAAAAAAGCGTGTTCTATGGTGGAATGACCAGTGCAGAATTGCACAGAAAAAGAAAAATAAGGCGTGGTGTTTGCTATGCCAGTGTCCGACGACAGAAAATCTTACTTTAAACAAGTAAAATCTGAGGACAGGCGCACTCGTCGTAGTGCTAAAAGAGATGGCTGGGTGAACTATCTCTCGAGTATCAACTCATACACACAAGAAGTAAAAGTATGGAATAGGCTAAGAAAACAATCAGATAAACATTTCAACGCTCTACCTTTTGTTGACAACTAAGGCAACAGCCTTGAAGACCAGGCAAATGCACTTGGTGAACATTTCGATCGCGTGTCTAGCTCTTCAAACTACTCAGCAAGTGTCTGTAAATACAAGGAAATAACAGAGAAGAAACCACTAAATCATACGCCTAATAGAAATGAACAGTACAATCGTCCCTTTGGCATGGCTAAGTTTATGGCTTACTTGAACGCTTGTCACAACTCTTCTTTGGGAGCCGATAAAATCATGTACACAATGGTAAAACACCTACATCCTGATGCACAAATGGTGCTTTTGAGTCTCGACAAGATCTGGACCACAGGGTGTATTCCTTTAAGATGGAATGAGGCTATTGTAATCCCCGTTTACGCGTAAACCGCAACCAAGCGGCTGTTTTCTTGACATGACACGCTTCCGCAAACACACACTTGTCTGGAGCGACCCTTCCTAATCTTTTAACCGATAAATAACTTGATTAAATTATTAAATGAAGTTTATTAAAGCTAGGTGGGACCTTTTGCACGTTCCACAAGATCGTAGGACCTTCCGTTAAAGATATTTGTATGTATCCTGATGAAAGCTAGTTCAAAACTGTATGGTGGTGGTGGTAAAAACATTTATTGCCAGCAAATGGCGTCAGTAGAAAGCACGCATTGACAAACTTTCGTCATGTTGTTGCCAGTAAAACATATGGTCAAGCATCAAAGATAGCTATCCTTGTTCAGATATTTCTTTTCAAAAATAGCCTTCTGAGTTGTCATGTTCACGCGGTGCTGGGGTATTCCTGCATCATGAAGATTCGATGGGGCGACGAGTAATTGTATGTGCACAGTCTGTGCTAATGTCTAGTATATTCGATTTATGAGGAGTATTTTTCTTTTTACTTAGAGTCAGTGTCTTAATTCGTAAGATGACAACTTGAGCTTTTATGTGATAACTACGCATGAAAATCGCTTTCTTTGCGTTGTATCCATGAATCTTTCTTGCTGAGGACGCGGGTATACATTGCAACCACATCTTCCGTGCAGCGTGAACCGAACAGGAAGGCACTCTCTAAATTGTGAGAACAGTTCAATTCAGGCTCTCTGAAAATGAATGAGTCATAACATGATCAACGTAACCGCTTTTCAGATTTATTTGTTGTGCTACCTTTACAAACGCCATGAACGTGCGTTTACTCTCCCTTCTATACACGTGTTTTGTTTTAAGCAGCAGCTGCCAATTCAAACTCGAAAGGTGCGTAAGCTGTCACACGAAATGGTTCATTGTCGCGATAAGTATACAACAATGAATGCCAGAGGTGCGCGAGATAACGTAGCCACGAGCGAAAACTGGTGAAAACGACCTATCAGTCAGGCAGACTGGAAATAGAAATTTACTGGTGAAATCGACGTGCGCTTTGGCGCTGTTGAAAAAAAAAAAAATGACGATATTCTTTTCTGTGACATCACAGCATAACTGAAGCCCCATATCGCTTCACCTCGCAAACAGCAAAGATTACGTGGTCAGCCCATACAAAGTGCACACTAAAGCTTCTAGAAATTATACACGTTGATTTACTCATACACCATGTTGTATACAAGCAAACTGACTGATTAGGTGGTGGTGGTAATGGTTCTTTGAGAAAAGGAAAAAGGCACCTAATTTCTGCAGCCCTTAAGGCAGCATGGCGCAGTGCCTTGTAGGGGGGGATGGGGGAAGGGAATGAACAGGATAGATGAGGAACAGGTGTGGGGAATGGAAGGAGCAGAAGAAAGCAGCCGCGGCAAGGAGGGTGGGAAGTCGCCTACAGCACCCCAAACTTGTGATGAGAGGCTTGTGGAGGTTTTCTCGATGTAAGAGGGCAGGTGTGTCCTTGCTGTGGTGCGATTACTCGCGCTGAAGTATACCGGGTGGCGGGATGGTTACCATTGTGCAGAGTTCCCGCGCAGGGTGGTCTTGAGGAGGTAGTCGAGCACGTACTGCAGGGCAGTCATAAGGATGCGGATGTGCGCATCCCTCTCGTCCTCTGCAGGCGTGACAGGGTGAGCAGCGGGCAACTCCACTTCGGTGGAAGGGGCTGCTAGCTGGTTTAGCTGGCGCGGCGCTGGGGGAGTTCGCGGGTTTGCAGAGGTCGGCCTCCGGGTGTCGGCGGCCACAGCGGACGCAGTCGCCGGCGCGCTGGCATGCCTCGGTAACGTGGCCGAAGCGACCGCACTGCCGGCACTGTCGTAGACGTGGTCTCACGGGCAGCACACGTAGCTGCAGCCCGAAGATGGTGATGCGGTCGGGTGGGGAGGGGCTTGCGAAGTGTAGCTTCACAGTACTTCTCTCCCTGGTCGCCGAAGTCACAGGAGCGGCTGAGCCGATGCCCTCGGAGCAGCTCTGTGTTGGTAAGGTTGCCGTCCACGCCGTACATGAAGCCGGTGCTGACGTGACGGTCCGCAGGCTCCCTGGCGGTTACGGGGATCCCGTTGAGCTCTGCGATGGTAAGGAGTTCGCGCAAGCACTCGGGCGACGCCGCGTCAGCAGCCACGATGTTGTGATGGTGGTTGACATGCACCGCCACGACACGGGGCCGCCCAGCAAGTGCCGCCGCGAGCACCAGGCATGGAGACCCCCGAAAAGAGCCGCGGGTAGCAGATGGACAGTAGAGGGCTGTGCTCAATACTGCTGAATCTGTCACGACAGCCGCGGCCTGCTGTTCCCTTGCCCTCCGCTGTGCCGCTTTGGAGACGACGGTGATGAAGTCTACCTCGGCATAGGAAGGGCTTGGGCACGGGCGCGGTACTGTGACGGGAGAGCTCCGAGGCACCAATGCTGCAGGGGCCTCTGCTGTGTGCGTCTCGGAGGTGCGGTGTTGCTTCCACTGCGAGCTCCGAGCTTGCGACTTCCTCTTCCTCGGGGCCGGAGCAGTGGCAGTCGCGGTGGGAGCCTTTGGTGAGGTTCCCGCGTTGCCTTCTGAACTGTGGTCAGTTGCGAGGGCTTGCGAAGTCGCCGCGATGTTCTGCGCAAGGCAGGACGTGTCGGGCGCCGCTGTAGGCTCCTCGTTCTGTTTGCGTACTCGCTTTCTAGAGGCTGTGGTGGTGCCCATGCCCTCTGTTGTGTCGAGGGCAGGAACGACTGGTGTGTTGTCGCTGCTGGCCGTCGTGGAGAAGGCAGGCGCGACGTGGTCGTTAGCACTGAAGTTCGCCTCTTGTGCTTGCTGTTGAAGCCAGCCGCCCATTGCAAAGACGGCCTGCATCTCTAGCAGTTGTTTAGCGGTCGAGGTGCTTGCGGGACTGGTGTTCCCGGTGGCGGCTGCCTGGGCGGTGGCCGCAGGCTGAGATGGGTGAAGAGGGGCTTTGGTTTTTTCTTTTTGGCTTTGCCTTTTTGGTCATCTTACCCTCGATGAAGCACAGTAGTCCGACGCGCGAGAGTGTGCTGTTAATGTACACAACGCGCCACCGAAGCGAGCGCGCTCACTGTGAACAGGAACCGCCGAAACACGGAACGCTAAAAAACACGTCCTATCACTTTGGAAGTCCCAAGCGCACGCCTCCAGACTGATTAGCATGGCGACATCCTGCGTTTAAATTCTCTTCGCGTTTCCTTGTTCTCTTTTGGGGGAAAAGGGGGACCATCGACATGGGTCCAGTCACGCGTGTCTTTGTTAATTAAAGAAAAGAAAAAAAAACCTCTGCCCTGAAGGTATTGACGACGTCCCTTTTAAATGCGGAACATTTTATAGTTGCACCTAGCTACTTGCAAATCTGGCGTCAGCAGTGTCGGCTACACCCCCACTGCACATGCTCGCGTCTCGTGCCAACTGTGGAGGGAGCACGGCACATGACGATGGGTAGAAAAAGTGGCATTCCGTGACAAAAACTGTTTCACAAACCGCAACTTTGCAGAAAAGCCAACTTCTTGTTTACTTTCCAAGCTGTCCATTGGTTTGTCGGGCTCAAAAAAAAACACATTTTAGACGTCATCTTTGGTGGTTTTTCGTGAAAGTGTTTGTTATTTTGGACGGCGGTGTATTAGATCTTGAGAAAATCTTCAAAGGCCAGTGGTGTATGAAAGCATGAAAAATTTCAGAGACGGGGCTGAAGTTCCATAAGCGACCCCCTGGTTACGACACTGCACTCAGGATAGGCACTTCTTTCTATTCTGGTGCAGGTCTACCTCATAAACTTGGAGCGTCGGCCAGAACGGCGAAACCGCATGGAGTACTGCTTCGAGGAGTTAGGCATCGCCTTCAAGTTCATTGCGGCTGTCGACGGAAAGTAAGTCTGGCATGCATGTTCCTAAAATATCATTAATGTGTATTTGTAAGATATGTTCCAGAACTCGGAAGAAGAATGTAAAAGAAGGCAAGAAAAATGGAAGGAAGAAAAGAAAAAAAAAAAACTTACATTGACTTATTATAGCACGTTCGCTTATTTTGTTGATTTCTATGCAGGTGTTCTTTGTAAACTGCAAAATTTCCTTTGGTAATTGTGCATGATCGTATGCATTATTGAGTAAGCAGAAAATTATTCCAGGAAGATTCTCAAGTAGTACAAGCGTTCATTGCCCCTTGGGCTACTTTCACGTTTGGCCAACGGCTGCCCTTGTGGTAATGACAGCCTTCAATTTAAGAGACGCAGCTGTCGCATCGCGAAATATAGGTAAATTTTTCGAAATTTTGATTTTCAGTTTTCATGGCCTTAAGTCTTTCCGATTCCAAAATATCATGAACACCACGTAAAATGCTTAAAAATTGTTTTACCACCAAATTCAGCGCATAAGTTCTCGGTAACCGTGAGAAACAGTTGTTTTTTCAAGCCACGGTATATAACTTCGCAATGGCGCAACTGAGAGCCACCATCTTGGGCTTGTCAAAAAGAGCGTTTGTTTGGCTTTGAATTTTTTTGCATTAGCTGCCGCCACCAAATGAAAACAAGCGCATGAAAGCAAAGTTTAGAAGGTCTCGCGATAGAACGTGGTTGGTAGCATGCAACACGTGACACGAATGGGCAACTCCCCCGCACGGATGCCTCGCATTGTCTGCTCTTCGCGGTCACATGAGGCGCCAGATTAAGCCCGTAGCCAGAGGGAGGTTGTTCCTAGCCCACCTTCCTCGCACTGAAATTCAAAGGGAGGGGAGGGGTGTTTTATCAAGAAAAAATAATAAACGTGTTCTTCAAGGCTTTCAACACGTGCTCCCCCCTCCCCCCTCCTTCTTGAAAAAAAGTTCCTGGCTACAGGCCTGTGCTAGATATGTTTCTTTAGTGGATAGCTTGGTCATGTGCGGCACGGTCTATGGCACAGTTTCATCGAAGACCTCACCTGCGATCGTAGGTCGGCCACAGGATAAGATGAACTACAGAAAAATGCATCAGTCATGCAGCCGTAAGTTTAAGTCTCCGATAGTGAAACAGAGACGTTGTCAACAGCTTCCAGTGCTGCCTCTGCTACTGTTCAACGTGTTGCTGAGGCGCCGCTGTTTGCTCCATGCTTGTAAGGCTTAGATTTTTGGCTTCTCTAATGGCATGGTGTGTGTTCGGACCTGCGGCCATGCACATCGCCCGACGGCTCCCAAGACTCGCGGCCGTGCTTATCACGCGGTGACTGGTCGAAACCGCAGCCGAGCACATCACACATGGATGAAGTGTCGTCAAAAACTGGTAGCAATGGCGTACTGAGGGAGAATGGAGGATTAACCCCATCCCCGAAAATATTGCATGTGCATTACCCCCTACATATATACACACACATATACAAATGCACGTGCGAACATAAAGGATCATTGACTTCCTTTTTCCAAGGGCGTTGGAAGCGGGTGGCAAGCGGGCTGAACCCTCCCCCCCCCCCCCCCCAACCCACGTCAGCTGAAGCAAGAGGGCTCAGCCCCTCAGTCTACCCGTATTGCGGATTTCGGTATTCTGGTTTTAAGCAACTGAAAAAAGTCACAGCTTTGTTGGAAAGGCGAAGCAATAAACGCGATAGCAACAAATTGAAAGGTCACGCGCTGAATAAAAAGCAGATCGAAACATGCCCCGCGTTCCTCATGCACAAATGATGCACAAAACGTACTCACAGGTACGGATGCACGCAAATAAGAGTCTCATTTGTTACTTTGCTGTGTCTGAAAAGCGCGCGCTTTTCGCAAACGGAGACTGCAATTATTGCAGTGACCTTTGTGCATCCGGTTAATACAGCAGAATTGTTCTAGGTAAAGCCCGAGGCCAGCCAAGGCGTATGATCTTCCCCTCCTCGTCGCCGCGAGATAAGGGCGCATGAGAGAGCGTCGCTCCCCTTCTCTAAGCCAGGCAAAGTACGCGTAGGTGATTAGAGCGGGCGGCGCCGCGCGATGTGGCACCGCGCGCTCATTGCGCCATTTTGCTGGTAATGCTGAAAACACGATTCCCTCACGAGATGCTCGTGAGCAGAGGTAAGTGGTAGATATAAGTAGCTTGTCGTTTGAATGGTCAAGGATGTGCTCCGGGGTGGCTCAGTGGTTAAGGCCTCACTTTCACGACGCAGAGGTCCGACGTTCGATTCCGAGCGCCAAGTGTTTTTTTCTGGATTTTTTTGTTTCTTGCGTTTTCATATATATAGATACATATACATATCCGGTGCATGACATCGACGCGCACGTTGACGCCGGCGGTGAAATCCAGCCGAAAGTGTCCATAAATTGCTATCGCAATAAAATGTTCCGGAATGGAAATCGAAGCTTTAGCGCCCTGCACACCTGTGGTATCATGCAAATTTTCTCACCAGTATAGCCTTTCCCTGCCCAGGTGCGACTAAGTCAGGTCAACGAGCCGCCAATTGCCCAAAAAGGGTCAGTCGAGGTGTCAGCCTTGTTCAACTTCTTATCTTTAGTTTGTGAAGTGGACGTTGAGTTGGCTATTGAGGTGGAGGTGCACTTCTCATGCACCTGTAAGTACTACATGATTAGTGCAATCTTGGCCGCCGTGTGGAGTGGATAAAGAGAGTGGGCCCCAGAGATGTTATTTAATCCAGCGCACCAAAAAGCACCAGCGCCTTCACTGATATTGGAACCATCTAAATACTTGTGCGTAAAGTATTTTCTAGTCCATTGAAATGCTCTGCTGACTGCTCCTACCACGATGAGCACTCGTGTTCGCACCGGCCACGCAACCCCTGACCCAACCAGTCATGGGCACGTTGCCAGTAAAAATTGTTATAGTCACACAACAATGTTGCGGCGCCAGCGCACGGCGCAGGCAAAAGGTAGCTGTGATATTTCATTTGCACAAGCTTTCACACATCTTGAGAAAGGTGGCCCAGTGGTAGGACGTCGTATTCATAGCATCCAATTTTCCTGTCTAAGCTCTGCAGAATGACTGACCCGAAGGCAAAGACGCTGCAGGTCAGTTGCACAAAGCACAGGCGGGTCTGCGCTTTGTGATTGTGCAAAAGGGTTCCTTTTCAAAATTTTTTTAAAGTGCGGGAAAGTGTCCGTTGACGCAAACTGGGAGATGCGTTAGAAGCGCCGTGTAGGCCCCATATGTCCTATGCATACGTGGTCATTTTGAGGTGCCATTTTCTCAGCCACTAAATATAATATTGACATAATCCATACCTACATTATTTTCTTCCGAACATTCCGCTGTTTTAACTGAAACAGGTTTATTAAAATCTGACTGATATTATAATTTTTTTTCCAAATTTTCAACTACGAGAACCTAAACTTTGGATTCATTGACATCTATGAAAACTTTGTAACACAACAACTATAATGCCCATAACTTCGCTTCTGCTTCAGTAGCTGTAGCATTTATGCAGAATACAAGGAAAAATAAACATGTGTTTATCTTAGAATGCATAGGAAATAATGATACCTAAGCATTAAAACAAGTATGGTACCGAGATAAACGACGGCTGCTGACCTGCAGGTCGCGTGTGTTCGAATCCTGCCTGCGGCCGCTGCATTTCCGGTGGAGGCGGAAATGTTGTAGGCCCGTGTGCTCAGGTTTGGGTGCACGTTAAAGAACCCCAGGTGGTCGAAATTTCCGGAGCCCTCTACTACGGCGTCTCTAATAATCATATGGTGGTTTTGGGACATTAAACCTCACATATCAATCAATCAAATCCGAGATAATCGAGCTTAAAGTGAGAAAATGGTCGAAAAGCGAACACATTTTGCCACAAATGCCGTTTCACTGTTTTATTTATTAGCTACAAACTTTGTAATCATTTCCGAAGTCAATTTCTACTTTGTAGCCTCTCGTAATGCTTTCCTTGCTTTTTTTTTTGAGCTGGCATGCCGCTCTATCTGCAATGTATTGTTAAGTGTGGTCAACGTTTTTCACCAAGCTCACTGTAGTTTGGCCCAGCTTCAGTCGTAACTATTTCCGAATTTTGGTTCATGTGATACTACCATCATTAAATGAAAGAAGCATATTCAATGTCGCAATCCTGAAGACAATGAAACAAAGACATCAAAGACTCGGCAATCCCATTAACTGAACATATGCACCGGGCAGCTTGCACGCGCTATTCGGTCTAATCGCATCACAAGTAATAGTCATGTCCATTAGGGCGTACCTGCTGTCACCCTGCTCGTGATTTTCCCCGAAGGACGCCGAGAAGGCTGAGAAATTCACCGATGAAGAGCTTGCTGGTTGAGCGTTGATCGCCTCAGTACATCACTGGCATTCGCATTTACAAGACAAATGTATACGGGTTGCCGCGATATTGGCACTTGCTGAATTGCTAAAACCTTCTTTATCCCCCGTATCTAAGATTGTCGACAAGCACGGCAAACGCAAGGTGTAATAAAGGTAGGAGCTGAAAGTGCTAGAAGCCGTGCACTTTAAATACAAAGAGCGAATATAAAGGCGTGCAGTGTTTTGGAGAGTTACTTTACAATTTTCTAAACGCAGCTGACTCTTGAGAAGCATTTTGCCTTTCGTACATGAAATTTTTTAGAAGAATAGACCGTAAGCACCGAGTGCATACGAGGAACTTATCCTAGCGCACGTTTTCAATCACTATTTGCTTTTGGAAAAACGGACTTTAAGTCACAAGAAATGCTGTTTCACTTTCTTTGAAGATTTCCGGTCAAAAAGTGCCTATATTTTATTGCTGATTCCGAGTCTCATTTTACTATAAAACGTAGCTAGATGATGTTGAAAAAGTATTTTCACCACATACTTAGTCAATTGAGAGGAAGAAAGCTTACTTCTGAAGAATACATAGGAAGCCAGCTGCCATCATTGGTATGTGGTCTTCGTTGGTACCTAGATAATTGTGCAAAAGCAGTGATTAAGGAGTGGCGCTGAGCAGTTATTTCTCGATGTTGAGTCTATCATATGACGTAGAATATTCCGTGTTTTAGGCACATTAGGTAAGTGTTGCATGATGTTACAAAGCTGATGTCAGTTATGACAGAAGAGTTGAAAAGTGTAATCTTCAATTTAACGTGTTAAATAACAATGCATTTGCATAATGAGCGGTTGAATTTGTTTAAAGTGCTTGCGCAGACCAGCGAGTGCCTACCACATGTGCAGCAGCTTGGGGTCTACCGTGTCGCCTACGGCATCTGCTGGGGGAGTCTTGGTAGCGCGCTTAACGTCTCCATGACTTCCGGGATGGCGGGCGCACGTCTCTCTGGCCGTCCTAGTCGCCGCATTTCCCAGCAATATGAGCGAGCATCGCCTCGTGCGCCCGCGCCTGGCTACCGCGAGGTTGCGAAACACTGCAGAGCTCATGTGATTCCAGTGTGCCCATGTTATGTTTTTTTCTGCGTACGAGCAAGAATCACCGCCAGAATCTTCTGGCTGAACTGAAGGAAATATTTTTCAAACATGATCGACAATTAACAAAAACATGACAATTAACTGCTGCATTTTCCTGATAGGTAAATGTAAGGAGGTATCAAATCGTCTGTGGCAGTATTACTTTTTTTATGATGGTCCGTTTTGTGTCGGTTCTAAATATTTGGATTTGAGAAATATAGAGGCATTCTAGCATTCCTCCTATCTGGAGACTTGTACAGGGGAAAACGGGGCTAATTATCACTGTTGAAAGGTATTGCTCTCCTATTGTGACTCATAATTTTGCTGTTGTATCACATAGGGATATTTATGACGTGGTCAACAAAAGGGTCGTTACGCTTTAGATAATCAAGTGTCTTGGTCATGTCATTGAAATAAGATACGTGAGAACTAATTTTGCCGGATTATTGTAGGAGGCTTCGATTTGCCTATATTATTCCCCACGTCTTTCACAGGGAAAGCACCTGAGTTGTGATCGTCTCATTTTTCGTAATCTGAATTTTGATTAAGTTTTGATAGCACAATGTCAATATCAATGTCGTGTTCATTTACTATACTCTCGACTGCATTCAAATCAAAGGGTCGCACATGTAGCATAATGGCGTCTTTCTAATGAAAACTAAATATTCGCCGAGGTAGACTACTAAAGAAAGAAAAAAGTGCATATTGAACTGCTATGCAACACCGCAGTGTTTCATACCAGGTGCATCAAACTCTGAACACGTGTTGCGTACTTCATGAACAAGCAAAGCACTTCGATGTTCGCTCTTGTATTGCCAAACGTATCCATTGAAGACCGCAGAATTCACAGTGCAAATGGGCGACCAAAAACGTGCCTGTAACTAGCCTGTGGGCATCGCAGAATCGGTGACGTCTAGGCGCATGGCGATTGCCTGCACCCTCCTCCCTGTATCCTGCTTCTGCGGCTGGATGGGAGGACTTTTGAAACGGCGTTAAAATCAATAGCAGCGCTAGTTCCACGAAGGGAAAAAGAAGCAACCCTTTTAATCGAGTGTAACTTGTGAATGTAGAACGCGGAACTCTTTCGACTTCACTTGTTGATCGGGCTGTGATTTTTTTTTCTTCGTCAGCGCCCTCCATTCTATACAGCCTGCAAACTTCGAAGTACAGTAAGTTTCCAGCACATCCAGATCTCTTGCAAAGGCATCGCAATTATGAACACTCTAATATGGGCGATTCAAAACTACACCAAAAGAAGTCAATTTGAGAATATATACGCACAAGCATTGACTTTGCCTCTCGTACTATTTGGGCAGACATTCTCAAATGAGCGCGAAGTAATACAGAAGTGCAAAACCATTTTTTTTATTGCCACATGCAAGTTTTCGCCATCAGCGCGGCAGCTTTTTCAAACATACAAAGGAGCGCCGCGGTGCGGGAAAAAGAGCAAGCCAGCACACCTCTGGAAACACGCTCTCTCTGTGCGATTGGGACGGCAGGAGAAAAACCCGCCGCGCGCCCGCCATTGCGGAGGCCATGGACGTCTTGTAGTAAGGAAGCTGTGCATTGGTCGATCGAGGTGGCAGATTCTGGAGAGGCCGATGCCCGAAACTCGCGGAAGACATTCCAGTCAACTAGGGCAGACTGTTTGCCTTTCCTGCAGTGCGGGCCAGCCTTGACGATCGTTTGTATTATATAGTGATTATTGCCCAGAGGTTCATGAAGGCTGGACAACTGTATGCATCATGTTCGTAGTGAAGGTGATGTCAGGAGTGGTGTGTCTTGCAACGCTGTTGCCCAACCGCGTAGGATATGCCCGGTTTGTGTTAAGGGTGTAACCGAGATTGTGAGTGTCTTGCCACAGCACTCGTCCTCTTCTGGTGTCGTGGATATAGCCCCAAGCTGGTGAGGGAGTGTTAAAATTCCCTATCATGAGGAAAGGAAAAATTCTTGCCAACTTTTTGACATAAGGATTGAGCTTGTGGAAGCGATGTGGTTGTCGTGGGCTGCAGTAAATATTGACCAAAACATACTAGTGGATGTCAATTGAGAGGACGAGAGGATTTCCAACATTATGTGCGACGCTGTATCAAAAACCGGGGGTGGGGGTGTTGAGCTTCGTCGCGGTGGTCTAGTGGCTAAGGTACTCTGCTGCTGACCCGCAGGTTGCGAGATCGAATCCCGACTGCGGCGGCTGCATTTCTGATGGAGGCGGAAATTTTGTAGGCTTGTGTTCTCAGATTTGGATGCACGTTAAAGAACCCCAGGGGGTCGAAATTTCCGGAGCCTTCCACTAGGGTGTCTCTCATAATCATATGGTGGTTTTGGGACGTTAAACCCCACATATCAATCAATCAATCGGGGAGGGGGGTGTTGAATAACGGGGATATTTCGTTTCACGAGGGTAGTAATAACTTCACGACTGTCGGGGGCTTGAGCAGCCGTAAAGGAGGCGTATCCGACCTGTCCGCCCGATTCCTGTAAAGCGATAATATCTGTATTGTTTCATCAAGTGTCGATAGAAATTGTTGCAGTACGCTCCTATTACGGCAGTAGCCGCTGCAGTTCCATTGTCAGATGCAGTACTGAGTGTGCGGATTACTCATGGCCATCTTGGTTAATGCGTTCATAAGGCAAAAATGTTTATAAAGCAAAACTTATGCCTAGCCATCTCAGAAGCTGGTCACATGGTTGAACAACGGTGGCGTCAGTAGGTATAGCACGATTATTTCGGGCTTAATTTTATAATTTCTTTTTATTGATCTCAGATAATGGCAGCTCCTCCTATTAGTTCATAATAACACAGTGACACTAAAAGAAATACCAGTTTGTTTCGAGTGTCTTAAACGAAATGTTATTAAATGGATCCACGCATCGATCACACTGAGAGAGAAGACATACAAAGACATGTATGTATGTATGTATGTATGTATGTATGTATGTATGTATGTATGTATGTATGTATGTACACTCTCAGTCAGGTGCGGGATAATGAACGGCATATAGGCGGTGCGCTCCTGCGTACTGACTGAAATCCTGTCTATAGGTAGCCTAGCAATAAAAAATAGCCGTGACAGCCGCGCGGCGAGGAAGTAATGCGTACAGCTCGTAAGAACAGGCGCAAGAAAGAAAAAAAAAAGGAAAAAGAGGGGAGAGCCGCTGTCTCTGTCGCGCCAGCCTGGCGCCAGGAGCGGGCATCAACTTACGCAGAACCTTTTAAGGCCCCTGTATTTTTCAAAGGTAGCGCAAACTCCCTTCCCCGCGCCGTTTCCCCCTCACCCGCCACTCTCAGCCGCCATGAAGGAGCGACTCACGTGGAGCGCGCCGACGGACGGTTTCCTTTTGTCGCGCGGCGCGTTGAAGTAAGGCCCCTAGGGGCCTTACGTTGAAGTGCTAAAAATATCATAAAATATTGAAACCCTCATTGCACACTTTTAAGTAAAGGAACCCTCGTTTTTAATCGCAGGTATACACATAAGGCACTGAAGTAAAATATACATTGGACATATCTAAGTATATACAAGCACTAGGCAAAAGCATAAACAAAACTCATTCACATTTGTGAAGAAACCTTCTTTTTCGATCACAAATATACACATAAGGTACCGAAGTCTACTAATGTGACATTTCTAAGTGTGTACAGGAAATAGGCAAAAACATAAACAAAACTAGTGCACGTTTTTAACGGCATCTCTCATTGAAACACTCCTGCTGCCCGACTTTTTCGAAGCCAGTTGCTTCCTCTCCGCTTCAGCGTTGGACTTCTTTACTAATAGCCGCCCATTGGTCGAGGGGTCATCCTTGTGGACGTTCCTGGCTGGTCCCAGGACGCAGCTGTAAGCATGAATTGTGTAAATACAGAATGTAAGTAGAGACTCTAGATGTGACAACAGTTGTCATCGTAGTGGTATCAACTCACAAAATGAGCCGCCCACTGGTTGAAGGGTCATCCTTGTGCAGTTCCTGGCTGGTCCCAGGAGGCAGCTGTAAGCATAAATTGTAAATACAGAGGCTAGAGGCGTGCACATTTGCCATCACAGTGCAGTTAACCCACAAAATGGGCTGCTCACTGGTTCAGGGTCGCGGTCTATTGACGTTGCTGTGTTGTCCTTGGAGGCAGCTGTAAGCATGAATTGCGTAAGTACACAGTCTAAAGGCGCGAACATTTGTCATCACAGCGCAGTCAACTCACAAAATAAACTGCCCACTGGTTCAGCGTCCGGGGCCCTCCCCACTGACGTTTCTGGCTCATCCAAGGATACAGCTGTAAGCAAGAGTTGAGCAAGTACAGTGTAGCGGTGGGGATGTTTGCTGCCACAGTAAGACAGAATTGGATGCCGAATTAATCATGTTCACAGGTCATAAAGATAAATGCAGGAATATGCTATCTGCCAGCGTTCCAAACACACTGTATTGTCATATAAACCCCAAAACATAATCGCATTCACAACACAAGAGAGGAATAGAAACTAACAGGGGCCTCACCAGGAACCGTTTCATTCCCCTTTTTGAGGGGTGGCTTGCGCTCTTTCGGAAGAAGCCGATGCGCAAATATAGAAGGAACCGCATTTGGCTTGAGTTTCTTGATCCCAGTTTATGCCAGAATTGCTGGCTCATACTGATCCATTGTGAAGTGTTTCTGAAAAATACCGACATCCTCTATCGCATTTTTGCAGTTTGGCTGATGTGATATTGCCGAAGCAAAATATTTTGCTTCTTACGTTAAAAATGCAAACAGCCACAAAAGCCAGATGATTTTCTTGCATTTAGTAGGTGCCTTTCTCTTTGTTAATCGAAAGTGTACAACTTCGCAAGTATGTTCGAAATTTGAATGAAAGTATCTATGCATTTCACAAATAAACAACTATACAACATTATATTTACCATGCACTCTCTTATATTAGCTGTACACGCATGCACAAAATTCGGTCATGGAAGTGCGCAAAAGTGAGATAAATATGAAAGAATACAAACTGAGAACACAATAAACCACAATAAAACAATAAGCGCCGAAATTTTGCCTACAGGTAATCAAAGTTCGAGCGAAAAAAAAGGAAAGACGATCAAAGACATGGTTGATCTCTGGAGAAGCATAATTGCTTCCGCTGCAAATGGTTTCATTTAGAAAGCAAATCAAGAATGCCAAACATTCAACAGTAATTATGTTGTGGCCGTATTCGAATATTCGAGCAAGCTAAAAACGATCGAGCTGTCATCGTGGTTGAAATCGTGCGAGAAAGCGTCGACGGAAACTTCAAGCTGCTTTTGTTATACATGAACCTGAACCAAGGATGAGCTTTATCTGAAAGCCTTCCGGAGGCATGTCTACGCGAAGAAACTCTGTAGTGAGTGCTTACCTCGCAAAGTCTCCCTCGTTGACAATCGAAGTTTTTCCTGCCGATGCGATGCAGCCATACCGCTCTCCGCTCCTCATTATTTTTCCCTCGTGGAACCACAAAAAGCTTGTCGCCTATTGCAATGCTGCTGGAGCAGCCAACGGCACAGCAGGTCGGCATTGCGCTGCATCCTAGGCCGCCTTGCTAAAGGCAACACACGTGGGAGCGAGATGCAGTGCGCTCACTCATGGCGTCGCTGCCCGGCGGAACCGAACCTGACGAGGGGTCAACAAGGTTCATTGGTCACGTGTCGCGCCTGGTCCAATAGGGTAGCAGAAACGCGCGCCGGAGTGAGGAGAGACGTAGAGGGCGGGGAGGAAATTCTCCTCCGCTTTTTGTACAATGGTTTGCGCTACCTTTGAAAAATACAGGGGCCTTAGAACCTTTCAGCCACAAGCGCGAGCGCGGCAAAAAAGAAAAGGAAACGCCCCCCCCCCTCCCCCCATGCCGCCGCCACGCCAGCTGGGCGCCCGGCGCCGGCGTCACGTTCACCGTCGCCTGCATGCCGTGGCATTTGTCATTTGTGCGTCGCCTTTTCGTCCCGCTGTCTTGTGATGGTCGTTTTTCTACAAGATGGTCTGGGACGGAAACATTTTCCAGTGCTATATGGCACTCTTTATTCAAGATTTAATACCTCTCTCTGCATTTGGGCAAACTCTTGAATGTGCAGTCCAATCGTTACTCTTTTGACTTCAATAAAATAGTACAAACAACTTTCCGTTCATCAATTGTCGAGATATGACATTGTGTCATGCACTAAATAAGAGTACTGGTGCATGAGCGACAGCTTACTGAAACACTGGCCTATGTATTGTAGCGAAACTTCTGGTTTGTTTCAGCTAAACACATCTGATGACCATCCAGTCGAAGTGTGGGAGCTATTCCGCACAGGCAAGCGATGACAAGTCGACACGATGATTTCGGGGAGCACTCAATGGGGGTTTATTTATCTAATACAACTTAAATTTACACAATTCCCTGTCACAAATACAAAACATGGAAAATGATGGCATACCCCGCGACTTGCATGACTGGTCTCCGGTGGTGAAATGCTCTGTTGACTCCGAGTCCGCTCACTCCAAAAGGGGCCCGAGTCGCTGCTTAAATAGGGATTTTCAGCATCGACGGGTGCGCGGACCAAGCAGGCAAGCCGAGGATAACGAATTCCAACACGAGTTTTCATGGTCGCGTGAAGCCTGCCTCGCAACAAAACTGTAGCAGCTTCTTGGAACGGGCACATTCTCTATCAGCCTTGTCGCGCAAACAAGTGCTCAAAAGCCAGCCCCCGATTGCCACGGAGGACGCAAGCGGCGGCTCGCTCGTTTGGGGTGGTAGTGGTCAGAAGAGGAGAAAGACGCCTGATTTCTGCAGCCCGGTCGGAAGCACGGTGCGCTGCCTGGTTTGGCGCGAAGCGCACCGTGACCGATTGGATGCAGATTTTTCTGTTCAGGCTCTCATTCTTCCTCGAGGCGCCCTCCGCGAGACAAGTCGTTAAATAGCGTCCCTAACAAGAGCATCTGGCAAAGAACGAACTCCAGCTGTAGCTGAAAAAGCTTTCCGCGAGACATTGCCTTCGACACAGTATGTTGATGCGAAACAAGTTGAACTGATTATTTTAGCAAAGCACGACAAAAAAAAAAAGAAACAAACTGAAGGCAGCGAGACAGAGAAAGGTCAAAATTGAAAATCGATTGGTCGATGTTTGATTAGTGGTTGCGTAATTTGATGATGAACATTAAGTACAGAAGTCAGGTGCAGAAGTCGGCAGGAGAGCGTATGTCGCCGACATTTGCTCACTATTTCGAATATTAAGGACAGTTCTCATATTTCAGCACGGATTTGTAACAGTGAACCACGACCAAGACAACCAGTGTACTGCTGCGGAGATGATGTACCAGCTATAAAACCCCCCATTTTCTAAAGAGCATCTGCACGCAATAGCAATAAAGGTTTTGAAGTTCGTTCTGCACCATTTCTTCACCCCAACTGCACGCGGACGTTTGCGAAAGAGATGTGCAGAAGCATCATTTATTTGGAGGGAGAACTACCTGTCCGTCGCTAATTTGTGTACGTCATACTTGACCTGGCGCGCGTTTCTGCAGTCACTTGAACAGCGGTGTGATGCTGAATAAAGGTAAGAGTAGCCACTCCCCATAAATAAGATCAGTTAAAGACTGAAAATGAGTAAAAATCACTCTATATAGCGAAATAACGCGCATGAATTCTAATTGCAGAAATAAGTAATCGTCAAAATGCTAAAAAGGTGCTGCTGCCCAAGCGTGCAGCTTGCGGCAGTTCGCGCGTACGAAATACAAATGTTAGAGCAGGCACGCTAAAAATACCCATGCAACGTTTACGTGCGAAAACGCATTGTCTTCAAACAGCCGGGAATAGGCTGCTGTCACTTACGCGCGTGTTCTTCCCGACACGAATCAACGAAATTTCTTTCAGCACATGCACGCGCGAGAAACATATGCAGGTTTCGACAGCCGAACACAACCTCGTCCGCGACTTTGGTGAGCGTAACACCCGCATTTCACGGGGAAGCACTAAAACGGCACACAAACACGCGTTAATCGTTCTTGCGGAACGGCGCATGATGAACCGATGTCGGCGCCGAAAGCGCGCACCGTGGTTTTCTTGAGTTCACGAAGCCCTACAAAGTATTCGCTGATCAAATGCATGCACATGGCAGAAAAACAGTTCAAGGTTTCGCCGACGGTTTGCAAAAAAGCCGCTTGGTAGATGTATACTCCCGCAAAAAGACTCGTCTTCATGCGGTGGCGCTGTGGTGGAATGGGTAAGACATCTGCTTCACGCAACGTTACTAGATTCTTCTTTCAGTTTGCAAACTGCGCCGCAGCAGGTGTCACCCTTCTATGTACCACCATGAGGGGGCGCGCTCGTCGTTTTTTTTGACCGGTCTGACGAGGATCCTGGCGGTTAGCCGCACGCCACCGACCACGCCTGCGAAGCAAAACAGCAGGTGCTTCTTCGTAGCCTGCAAGTATAGTGCAAGTGTGTTCCGTGGCAATCGCTATCGTTGTGTGTCTCAGCGAGATTGACGACACTCGCGCAGTTCGTGCTCCCACTGCTGCTTACTGCGATATCTTGGTGACAGTTGACGTTGTGTCTCACTTGCTGTCAGTTCTGTTGTTAGCTGCATAGCTCTCATGCGACGTCTGACGTTTTTTTGATGTTATAAAACATGCCTCGCTGCTTAGTCACTGGCTGCCAAAGCGGCTTCGACTCAACGTAATCTGCGACCGAAAAAAGGCACTTTTTCAAGCCACGCGTTGATGAGGTGGGTCTTCAACAGTGGCAACGAGCAATACCGAGATTGGATAAGGAACTATCTAGATCTTGCGCTGTGTGCGACCCCTACTTCCAGGACGATATCTTGACTACGTGCACAATGTTCACAGTGACGTAGTTTTGATACCGCGTGAACAAAAGTGACTTCTAGTTTGTTTGTTTTAGCGTTCAATAAATTGTGTTCATTCAATAATTGATTGGTATGTGGGGTTTAACGTCCCAAAACCACCATATGATTATGAGAGACGCCGTAGTGGAGGGCTCCGGAAATTTCGACCACCTGGGTTTCTTTAACGTGCACCCAAACCTAAGCACACGGGCCTACAACATTTCCGCCTCCATCGGAAATGCAGCCGCCGCAGCCGGGATTCGATCCCGCGACCGGCGGGTCAGCAGCCGAGTACCTTAGCCACTAGACCACCGCGGCGGGGCTGCGGTCCCGAGTTTGATTCCAGGGCTTTGCTTTGCATGTTAATCTCGCAGATGTAGGTGATTGTGGTACTGATGGTTTTAATTACCTTTAGCAGTAATATTCGCCGCATTATCGGCGAGAAACCGCTCTCAAATGCGTAAAATAATGCTTTTTTTTCCGCCACCGCATCAGGGCCAGACCGCCTACGGAATTGTCACGTCTAACCGCAGGCCGTATATTGCCAAGCAATATTTGACCAAAAATCCCGGCTATTCTGAAGGCCACTTAAAATTGGGCCAGTTTCTCTGGGGCACGGCTACGGAGCCGCGTAGAAGTGGCGATAACTGGCTCGGTTTTCTGCCTGCGGGCGTGAAGCCTAGCCAGGATTTGACTAAGAGTGTATGTATGTATATCTATCTGTCTATCTATCTAATCTGTCTGTCTGTGTGCCTGTATGTATGTATGTCGCGCGGCAGGCTTCAAATCATATTTCTTTCTGCCGACATGCGCAA